ACAAAATGCAAGCCATTCCTGTGGCAGCATGAAAAGAGGGTCATTTTTAAGCTCCAGGTGACTGTTTTTCCCTGTCCCTTACCTAGGAGCCTACTGAGAAAAAATTAACTCAATTCATTTTGAGTAACTGAGAAAAGGATTGACACAGTATCAATATAAAGATAATGGAAGCAAAGACTTACAGAAGAGTAGCAAAGACAATTGTTTACAAGTTCACACCACAACAATGTTGCCATGGAGGAGCTGAAAAAAGTGTCTTCATATTCTGCCATAAATTTCCATAAGGACACAACAAAGAGATTTCTTCTATGAATTAAAATCATAGGTCACAATTTGAACAACTTGGGGAGGGATCAACAGGCACTGGTGAAACAGCTGTCAAAACTCAGGAAAAAAGTGCAAGAAAAACCGTTACAAATTATGAAAATGGAAGAATGACAGTGTATAGCAGATAAACAGTAAAGAAAGAGCAGAAGTCAGGAAGATCAGCAAAATAAAAAACAGGTATATTATAAAAGGAAAAGAGGATTACAGAGACTGATGGGGACAATAAGCAGCAAATACACAAAGACCCCACAGAAGAAAAAAATAAAAGAAAAATATTATTAAAGAATGAATCATTCTTGAAAATAACAAATGACACGAAATTTTACTCTGAACAGAAACAATAATCATAAAAATAAAATGATCGGCAAGTAATTACAATTCTCTAGGAGCTCTAGGTCTTTATTATAGGCTCCTTGGCCATTAGGTTCATATGCTGAGGACCTTTGCACACTAGGGTTTATTCAAGGCTAGGTCTGAGGAGCTGGAGGGGCCCAGTCACCTGGAATCACCAGCTCACTGTGTACAGACAAGCAAGGGCCGGAAGCTCGGAGAGATCACACAGACCTCCACACTAGCTTCCTCACGTGTGGCTGCCACCAGCTAGAAGTCATCCTTTCGGGCTCCATGGGAGGGAAACGAGGCTCCAGTCCTAAGGCCAGCACCTGCATATTCTGTCACTTCTCTTGGGCTGAGGAGATAAGATGTTAATAACATGCTCATTATTGTGGAAAAATAGTTATGAGTATTGATGTGCTTGACAATGAAACACCAACATTCATAATTATAAATGTATTATAAATGATAAATAATTATAAATATTCAAGTTAGCAGGAAGCAAAGTATTAGTCTTAATGGTTTAAATCTAAGAAAGTCTAAATTAACAGAAAATAAGCATTAGACATTAAATATATTTTGCATATATTTATCTTTATGCATCACATATGTAAGTTTTTAAGACCAAATTTTACTTATAGGCATCGTTGCAAAAAATCTAGTTAATACATTAATAAATGAATTTTTGCAGCACATTGCATTGTCAACAAGCTTGTGGATTTTATCAAGATGTAAATGTGTTGTTTTGAATATTTATTTACATGCACATTCACTTCTTTCAGCTATTAGACAATAAGATCAATACCTACCTTATGAGATATTTTACAATGATTAAAAGAGATATTATTCATTAAACTTTAAGCAACAATGCCTTGCATAGAAGAAGCCTTCCCTAAAATTTATCTGTTGTGTTTATCAGCATTCAAAAGATATTAAAAAGTGACTGTGCTTGTGGTAGTAAAATAATACTGGCTTTCATTTTCTTGAATAATAAGCTTCTTGTGCTGATTTAATAATATTATGTTTTCATCTTTTGTCCCTTTTTTCTGGGTTTTTCTTGGGGGGGGTCCTTGTTCTTTTTGTATTATCATTAATATCTTGGTAAGTATTACAAAGAATTTGAAATTTCAGAGATTATCCATGGGTGAAAACTACTCATTTACAAATGAATTCTGACTGTACTAGTAATATAAAAAAGCATTCTCTTTTTTGATAAACTTTAATTTTTGGAGCAATTTTAGATTTGCAGGAAAATTCAGTAGACATTGGAGTTCCCACATCGTCTCGCTCACCCTCACATCTACAACTGTCCCCACCCTCTATCAGGCATTTCCCGCCAGAACGGTACCTTTGTTTGCTAACCTACACTTTCTGGCACCTTACTGCACGTCTACAGTTGACATGGGAGTTGAGTGCTGAAGTTGTTCACTTTATGAATGAATAAATGGAATATAAAGTAACCTCATCCTTCTTAATGTCTGTACTTCATCTATCCATCTTTCTCCCAACTTCCTCCCAACTGCAGCAACCCCTCACCTTTTTACTGTCTCCATATTTTTACTATTTTCAAATTATTGGAGTTGGAATCTTAGAGTATGTAGCCTTTTCACACTGCATTCTTTCTTTTAATCAGATGCATTTAAATTTTTTCCATGCCTTGTATCAAACACTACATGTGTCTCATTATTTAATACTGAATACTATTCCATTATCCACTAATATACTCAAGAGCATCTTGGTTGCTGCCAAGTTTGCGCAATTTGAAATAAAACTGCCATAAAAACTGAAGTGTCCAATGGATCAGGTTTGTGACAGCTTTAGGTAAACACCAAGGAGAGTGATTGCTGAATCATATGGAAATATGTGAAACTGCTGTACTGTCTTCTAGCAGACTCTACCATACTATTGTGCAGAATCACAGTCTTGCTAATGTGACAGTCTGACAAAATGAGAAACATAGCTTTTTATTATTGGTGTTTGAATTTGCATGTCTCTAATTAGTACTGAGTTTGAGCATTAGCCTATCACACTTCTGATTTTCTTCTTCTGTGAATTCTCACTTAATATTAGCTTAATTTTTGGTTTTTTAAATTTTAAGAGCTCTGCATACATCTGTAAATCAATCATATATATGTTCCAAAATTCTGTGAAGTTGTTATTCACTTTTTTTTTTGGTCTTTTTTTCATTTTTATCGGTACCAGGGATCAAACTCATGACTACCTGCTTGCAAGGTGGGTGCTTATGCTGCTGAGCTAAATCCCCAGCCCCACTTGTTTTTAGTTTTGAAGGTAGTAAAATATAACAGAACAAGATAGAATAACGCCCACTGAGACCATGTAGTGAAATTGGTACAGAACGTCACAGCAGGTTACTGGGATAACAGTAATAGGTATCACAGTATATTTCATTACCTTCACAATAGTTTTTACTTCAATCATGTATATCAAACTAAAATGAAATACAGAACAGAATATTGAATAGAGCAGTACCATTAATCAGAATAAAGCAAAACAGTAATAAAAATATTTGCCTTCAAAGATATGGTAGAAGGAAATCCCCCTTATTTGCTATGGTCAACTTTCCAAGAGATGCTCAGATTTCTGGTTCCCATTTGCTAGTGGAGGGACAGAGAAGGGGGGTAAGGGAAGTGGGATGTTTGACTCTAGGCCATGCACCATAGGTTTACTATTGCTTACCAGGGAGGCAGGCTGGTTGCTTGGTTTCCCAGTGTCCTAAGTTCCAACATGGCGCCAATCTCAGGAGATGTTGGTGGTTCTTCCCCTGGAAAGGCCACAGTCTACCACACTGCAGCCATTTACCAGAGAGGTGAGCTACTTGCTTGGTTTCGCAGCATCCTAAGTTCAAACGTGGGGTAGATCTCAGGAGTCACAGGTGGTTCTCCCCCTGGAAGGGCCACAGCTGGCCACACCACAGCCACTTAACAGGGAGGTGAGCCTATTATTCAAATTTTTAAGCTTTTTTGACCAGGAGGGCCACCGAGGAAATCACCCGCAGACAGGGTGGCCTTCCTGGATGCCACATAATCAAGTCTCTTGCAAAGATAGGCAACAGGCCTCTGCCAGGGTCCCAAACTCTGGATCAGTCCTGTGGCTCCTAGAAATTTTCACATTTGCTTTTAGTCACAGGGAATGGAATCTGTTGGATGGCTTGTATCCACTGGGAGGAATGAGTCTTATTATTTTTTTTTTTTTTTAATAGAGAGTCCAACAACCAATGTATTTTTTTCTGCCCAGCAGCAACCTCTTAAGCCTGGTCTTTAGGGTCCTCTTAGTTGTCAAATCTCTTTTAGGCAACCATTAATAACTGACTGAAGGGCATTTTTTAAAATCTCTCAACTTTTGCAATTTTTGTCTAATGTCTGGGGCCGACTGAGGTACAAAGGCAATATTAATGGCCCTTGCAATTTTAGGTGCTGCAGGTGTATAAATGTGATAGGCCTTTTGCAATCTTTTGAGAACACCCCGAGAGAGACTTATTAGCCAATTGTCTCACCTTTGCTATCTTGGGCAAATTGGTGGGTTCTGGGGTGCCCTAATTGCTACTGAGAACAACTGGCGATATTGGGGAACCTCCTTACCTCTGGTTGTTTAATCAGGGTGGGACAAAAGGAAAACATGGTTCTGGCATTCCAGATCAGAGGGCAGGCTTCATCTGGATGGAACACCACTTTTTGTCCCAGGGTGCATGTGGCGGGCCATTGTTTTACTGAAATTACATACTTAACAAAAAAGGACTTTTTCAAAGGTAACAAAATTAAGTGTGCCACATAATCTCCCAAATGTCCACAGCACATGCAAGAACTTGTACTTTATCTCTATAGTCACCAATCACATTAGGCACAAGAGTTATTTCTTTTAAATTTAGATTGGCTTTTTTTCCAGTATAAGATGAAGTTTTTTTTTTCTTCTCAGCAATCAAAATCTCAACTCTGTCTTTACAATCTATAACATTCCTGGAAATTTTCCTCTCCCAAACTCACAGTATTGTAAATTATCCTGTTGGGCTCTTTGCTCTTGATTTGCAACATAAAGCCAACTAAGAGCCACCAACAGTAGCCATGCCACAGAAAGAATTTTTATTTTAAGACAAAACCATCTGTTTTTTTACTTTACTTATTACCAGTTAATTACCTTTTTTTGCTTTTTAGACAACATTAAAACCTTTAACAAAATCCTTGAAGTTACCTTTTTAGTAGTCTAAAACATATTTAATCATTTATTATCTTTTACCACATTAAAATGCTACATTTTAAAAAAAATTGTAACCTTTTTAACTGGCTCAATTACAGTATGACCTGGTTTTTACTTGTTAAAGTTGATATTATTTTTAAAAACCATAAATATACATATATATGTGTACATATATTTACATTTTAACCAGAAAGGCATGCCGCGGTTTTAAGTAATCAATTGAGGACTAAAACATTAAACAAGGTGCCACAAGACAAGACCAACATTTGAGACACAAACAAAGGTTGTTTTGTGCACAGTTTGGTGAGCTAAAGGAAATAATTTTTCTTATGAACCTTGAGTCCAATGAGCAACGTGGATCTTGCAACTGAAATGGGCAACAAGCCCCTAAGTTAATAATAAATTTAACAATTTTAAATGGGCAAAAAAAAAAAACCCCAAAGTTAGTAACGGATTCTAACAGGCAGACAATTTTAACGTACAAAAACACTAAACATAAATACACACGGGCAAAAAGCCCCAAAGTTATGGAGGGGTCGAAACCCCCAAATGGGCTGAAACCACACACATGGGCTGAAGCCCCACATTACAAATGGGAGATAGCCCCCCGGATTCCGGTGCAGAAGGAGCCCTAGCTTGTCTGCAGTCATTGGGCACATCCAATTACTAACAGGCATAAAATCCCCACCTGGGCTGAAGCCCAAACAAAGTTAGGAATGGGTCCCAAAAGCCCTAAAATTCTGGGGGGAAAAAGACCCCCAGAAGTTGTCCCATTTTATCTGCAGTTATAAATGTGTGCAGTCAGATTACAAACAGGCAAAAAAAAAACACACAAACAAACAAAAACAAAAACCAAATACAGATGTTTAGACGATTGATCAGTGAAAAAATAATTTTGGGGGGGTCCCCCATTAATCCCAACTTGAATCTTGTAAGCCACATACGAGCCCCCATACTCGAGTTCAATAAATGAGGCCAAAACATATTTTAAAAAGCAGCACTGATTTATTTTATGCTGGACCCAGCAAAAGCTGTGTGTGTGCCGCCTCCCATACTTGCAGCCTTTATATACATATCACTGTTTACAGAGTAAGGGGTTTGGGCGGATCAGGAGACAGCTAATGGGGAAGATGCTGTTTTCCTCAGCAGAGAACAGAGGAGTCTAGCAGCAATTAACAACCTTTTGTTACCTTATTTTAGCACCTCATCTGTTATTTGTAGAGGGCAGCAATGGTTAACATATCAGTTAGGTCACCCAGAGGAAGAAAGGAGAAGAAAAACATATACAGTACAGTTAGGGTCACATTACAGGTATTTTGGTATAATACAAATATAACGATGCTCTTTTTTATAGTGTACAACAGTTCTCCCCTTGGAAGGGCTGCAGTCTGCCACACCACAGTCGCCTACCAGGGAGGGGAGCTGCTTGCTTAGTTTCCCAGCATCCTAAGTTCCAACATGGCCTGGATCTCAGGAGTCACAGGTGGTTCTTCCTAGAAGGGCCACAGCCGACCTCACCACAGCCGCTTACCAGGGAGGTGAGCCTATTATTCAAATTTTTATTTCAACTCATTTTTGTGTTCTATTGAATGGAATGTACATCCTTTAAGAACAAGGACTATTGGTTCTTCTTCATTGATACATGACTACAAGTGATAGAATTTTGTTTGTTTGAGACAGGTTTCCATTATGTATTTAAGGCTGGTCTTGAACTATGCAGGCCAGGTTGGCCTCCAACTCACAGCAATTCCCTTGCCTCATCCTCATGAGCGCTGGGATTACAGGCATGTATCAGCATGCCCAGTAGAATTCTTTTCATTTAGAATTCTGCAATGTTGTATTTCAATTTAATTTTAATCTTTAAGGTTCATGCTTTCCATGAGTTGCTTGAGAAATTCTTTCTAAACTCAAAGTCATACAGATATTCTCTTATAATTATTATTTTGATATATATCCTTATTTTCTTTTTATTCATATTTTCTTCTCTTCATTTTAAATTATTTAATTTAAATTTTCTCTGTTTTTAAAATAAATCAAACTCTACATACTTTATGTTTTATAAAGTAAGGCTCTATTTTTGTACCTAAAAAGAAATGTTCAAATGATTTATTTTACTAGTTTGCAAATATTTTTGACATTAAATGTTTGTCCAATTCATGTAGGTTAAAAGTGTTTTCTTTCTGATGAAACATATTCCAATATATGCATGTGTTCTTTCCTAGGCTCTCTAATCTGCTTTATTTTATATTTATCAGAGATAATACTGCTTCAGTTATTTCAGTTTTAAAATACAAATATATGAATGTAGAGATAAATTCACTCTTACTGTTAAATTGTTTTGAATATTCTTGCATAATTTCTATTCCATATGAATTAAATAGTCTTGCTATGATTACATTAAATACATAGGTTACTTGGTGTAAAATGGCATATTTTCAGTATTAATTGTTCTAATTTGTGAACCATTTACATAATATTTTGTACGCTTCTTATTACTGAATCTTTCTCCACTTAAGATGTGCACGTTGTTGGTAGATTTTTGTTACGTATATTCTTATGAAATGTAAAAGTGATGATTCTATTGACCGTCTTATAAGTGAAAGTTTATAGATAGCTGAATTATACATGTGTCTTACTGTTTATAAGTGGTTCATCAGCTGATTTCCATAAAATCTTTTCAATTGTTCACATTGTTCTAAATTAATGGCTTTCCCTCATTTCTAAACTTTGAATTTCTTCTTTTTTTTTTGGCACCAGAGATCGAACTCAGGACCTTGCACTTGCCAGGTAGGTGCTTACACTGCAGAGCTATAACCCTGGGCATTTTTTTTCCTATAATCTTTCAATTTTAATGTGGCCTTTTTCTCTCTTCACTATTTTTTTTGTCCTTTAAATTTTAGGTAGCAATAAAATGTCTATATTTGCCAATTATTGATTATGATGGAGATGTTTCTAGTATTTCATTGTTTTAAATAATTTTCCTGGAAATCATATGAAATTTTCTAAGTGAGGGGATTTCTTTCTGTTTCTAGGGTATTATGATAAAAACGTATTATGTTTTACCACATATCCTACAACTTTGAAATTATTTCAGTTTTATTTTTAATCTCTAGTGTAAATTAAACTGTTTTGAAGATAAAGTCCACTTTAAATAATACATATAGGATTTAATTTGCTAATATTTTATTTGCTGTGTTATTTCTATTTTTAATAATGAAATTTGATATAATTTTATCTGATTGATCTGGTTTTATTTTTTATTTTTAGATTAAGACTTTCTATTCTTCAGGAGGCCAAGGCAAGAGGATCACTGCAATTTTGAGGTCAACCTGGGCTACATAGTGAGTTCATGCCCAACATGAACTACATAGTAAGACCCTATCTAAAACAAAACAAAAATTCTATTCTTTGGAAACAGATTGCATGCAGTGTTTCTTCACATTTTTTATACCTTAGGATAAGTAAGTTTATTAAATCTATGTGTTATTATCTATTTTTTATTGCAAAGGTTCTGTTGATTTTCTGTCAGCTTTTGATTTATATATTTCAAAGCTAATAGAAACAAATATACCTTTTTAATTTTTTTTTCCTTTTAGCTATAGGGAATTTCCTTTTTAGGATTTCCAAACACCTTTTTTTCTCCTTGGGTCTATCCTTTTTAATATAAAGACTGTTACTAGCTTCATTTTTATGTTTTGGTTAGCATATTTAATACATTGGTATATTTTTGAATTTTCCAGGTGTTTTACATCTGTCTAATTTTTTCCTTGAGTAAATGTTTCTCAGAGTGTCATAATTTTGGTTAATTTACAAAGTCTTTAAAAGTTGATTTTCAAATACACTGCTTGAGTTATGTTCAGGCCACTCAGGTCTCTAATAGAAAAATGTATATGCTTATATGATCTTCCTTTTCCCCTATGGGTGGTGAGTTGTGTATTAACACTAAAGAAACTGATGTGATTGTCAGCATTATGTTTTATTTTATTGTTATCATGATGCCTTTTTATATGTCTCTGAGTTGTTCATTGTTATTGGCAATGCAAAATAAATTTAGCTTCCTTAAAAAAAGTTGATTTTCACAATTTTTGATCTTTTGTTGAGTTTTTGAAGAGTATATTCAATAGTATATTCAATAGTATATTCAATATATTCAATAGTATATTCAATATATTCAATACTCTGCTATACTTTGAATATTTTCCCTCTCTAACATAGGTCTCTTCTTACATTGCAAATCACATGATCATACCTGAAGCCAAAATCACAAAAAAAATCTTAATTCTACCATTTTCCAAAGGATAACTAGATGCATTTGATGTATAACTGATCAATATCATTTGCTGCAACCAGTGTATTAGACATTACTGTAAAAATGAATGGAGGCCAATATACCATCAATTGCTTTGTTGTGCTGACTGCTATCAATGTATTTTTTTCCTGAAGTGAATTTGCTTAGAAGTATCAAATTTCTAATCAAAAAGTGATTTGCAGTTTCAAAACAAAGGCCATAAATTACTTCTACTTTTAAGGATATTTTGTGTTTATTCAGCTATAAATATAAAAATTAAACTATGTGTATTATCCTGGATTCTCCAAAGGAACAGAACAAATATGTATAATTACAACAAATAATTTAAAAAGAGTTTTTGTTAGATTGGCTTACGGGGCCTGTGACTGAATAGTGCCACATTATCCATCCAAATGCTGGGCAACCAGAGAAAGTAGGAGCTGCTCTGCCCGAGGAGTTGGAAGTCTCAGAATGAGAATTACCAGTAATGCATCCTCAGCCTGAAGCTCAAAGAATGGAAGCTCCCTGCAGGGCTGCAAATATGTGTCCATGTCAGAAAACTGGAGAAGCTTGCATCTGATGTCCACAGATTATTGCAGTAGCAAATGAAACATATGTTCAAGAAGAACTGAACTTGGAAGAACAGGCTAACTTCCTTTTTGTTCTGATTTGGTTTTTTCTTTGCAGACCGGTACCCTACCAGAAAATGCCATACATCTTTAGGATGAGTGATAGGCATGCTCAGACTCACCCTCAGGCATTTTACTAATTTCTTAGGTGATTCTTAACCCAGTCAAGATGACAACTAAAATCAACTATTACAAATCCACCTCAACAATTTGAGAACCAAATAAAATGAACAATAAAATCAATATTACATAACTAGGCTGTATACAACAAAATGTACTGGTTACTTTCCAAGAAAAGGAGACAAATTCGGGGGAGTGATGTTTATTCTTCTAATATCTTTTTTTTTTTTTTTTGTCTTTTTCCTTTTTATCGGTACCGGGGATCAAACTCACGACTGCCTGCTTTCAAGGCAGGCGCTTATGCTGCTGAGCTAAACCCCCAGCCCCCTCTTCTAATATCTTTATATCCTACTTATAATGTAACTGAAATATTATAATATAGATATAATAGATAATCACTGATATTGTCAATCAATATTATTTTACATGGTAAATGCAGAGGAAAACAAACAACAATATCTGCTTAATAGATATGTATATATGCAGAGACATACATTCAACCAAACAGGAAAGAAACCCTTATAACAGTTACAAGCTTCATTTCTGTAACTAGTCACATGTTCATAGTTGGCATTTATAGCTATTTTTTTTTTCGTGACTATTCTATACTCTCTCTGCCTTCAGTAGACATTTCAGCAGGTCTTAATTCTTTACCTGGAGGGGTAAATCACAGCTTTCTTCCTGAAGGATCTGGGTTGCTTATCATCCTAAGTCTGAGTCGTATTTTCCTATTGACCTAAGAGGTACCCAAAGGGAACTTCTGCATTTCGGACTTATGCTTCTGTATCTTCATTGTGAAGTAGTAGTTCAATAGCCCCTTAGTAGTTTGGAGTTATCACTCCTCCTCAATTTTGTAACTCTTTTCTTAGTCTATTGACTCAGAAACATGAGGAATCCAAATTGACCAAGGGAAAAACTAAATTCATTGTTGGGTCTCCTGATAAGATCAATCCGTCCCTTGAATGGACGAGCCAGTAGAGTGAAAGGACCAGGAAGCAAAAGTTTTGCCAATTACTATGGCTAATGGTGGTATCATTCCTGTTTTTGCTGCTGAGTCCTGGATCAATAAATCTTGATTATGAGAGAAATGATACTATACATTGGATACTGATTCAGTATATATACAGCTTTCTAAAAAGCCTTGACCCAGATTTACAAATTATCATCATTTATTTAGCTCTGCACCTGCATCTTCAGTAGGTCATTGTGTCAAGTGAGCTGCTGCAAGCTGGTGGGGAAAATGGTAAGACCAGTAAATTCATGAGCATGAAACCATCACTACACCTCTTTAGCTATGAAATGTATTCCTTGGTCAGAAGCAATGTTGTGTGGAATAATATAACAATGTATAAGACTTTAAGTAAGTCCATCAGTGGTATTTTTGGCAGAAACATTAAGTACAGGGAAAGCAATCCGTACCTAGAAAAAAATACTTAATCAAGTTCAACAAACATGCTGCCCCTTTCATGATGGAAATGATTCAATGTAAGCAAACTGCCACCACATCTATAGTTGATCACTCCAAGAAATGGTGCTGAATTGAGGACTCGGTTTTTCTTTTTGCTGCTGGAAGACTGGGCATTCTGCAATAATTGTAATCAGGTTAGCCTTGATGAATGGAAGTCTGAGTTGCTGAGACCACATATGATTACCTTTTATCGTGCCAACATGATTGCTTTGTTCATGATCTCACTGGGCAATAACAACATTGTTGAAGGAGTGGACATCTTGCCATTTGATTATATACATTCTCTATTGAGATCACATTTTCGAGAGCAAATATCTTCACAGTCTTTTATTACTTAAAGAAGTCCATCAGCATATCTCTCCCAAAAGAGTACTAGAGAGCTGCTGACATATCCATAAGTAGTATGGTAAAAATTTATATGGAAGTGGCCTGGTGAGCTAAAACAAATTGCTTCTTTTGGGACTTATAGATAGGCATGAAGAAAAAGGCATCTTCCAAATAATATCTGCATACCAGGTAGGATATATTTGCTTAACCAATGAAAACAGCAGTAATTATAGACAAAACTTTATTAAGATTATGGCAATTGATTGTCATTCTCTAAAATTCTTCTGTTCTTCTGCATTGGCCAGACAAGAGTAAATGGAGGTGTAATAGGGACCATCACTTGTGCATTGTGTGAGTCCTGGATGGTGGCACTTGTTGTACTCTACAAAAACAGCTTCGTTATATTTGTATCATAGCAATACCTGTAACTTGGCCTTACTGTATATGTGTTTTTCCCTTCCCCCTCTGGATGGCCTAATTGATATGTTAATCAATGCTCTTCTCTGTAAAGAATTGTAAAATCTTACCTAATTGATATGTTAACCATTGCTGCCCTCTACAAATAACAGATGTGGTGCTAAAATAAAGTAACTAAGGTTGTTAATTGCTGTTAGACTTCTCTATTCTTTGCTGAAGAAAACAGGATTTCTTCTTATCTAAACTTGCTTGTATGCAGGGAGACTTGCTTGTGAGTACAACCCTTACCTGATCTTGCTCTTCCCAAGACATGTAATCGCATTGTTTCTGTTTTGTAGTGCGCCATACCCCATCCCCCTCCTTACATTGTGTGACCAGCAGCTGTTTGTGGATTTACAAGATAAAAGCCCTGACTTTTAGCTGTCAGGTGCACAGTCTCCAAATTGGCTCCTGGAGGCTGTGTCACCAGGCCTGGCCTAAAATAAAGCCTTTGCTCCTCCAATTTTAATTTCTTGCTTCCTTGGGTTTTATTCCAGGGCCTGAGTTATCACATATCATCCAGGATGGGAGCAAGACCCCAGACTCAATTCTGCACATCTAAAAGTAAGTATTCTGGAGGGTTTGTTTGGACTGCAGTCAATTCGTACATTCCTCCAGATCCCAAAATTTGACCAATTTTTGAGCAAAGGCCATTTTGCTGCAGTTTGTCTTGTCTTGTATGTCTGTCTGTGTGTCCATTTGGTTTAACTGTTCTCCTTTTGGTTACCCCAAATCTAACGAAGCATTCTCTCCTAGGAACCCCTTCTATGAGCCCACAATGTTGTCTCATTGTTATTCTGTCTCTTCCTCATAATCTTATCTCTGTCTCTTAGATTCTCCCATAGGAAAGAAAAACTGACATCTCTGCTGGCCATGGGGCAAACTGAATCTAAATCCAACACAGCCTTGTGCTTGATCACTTCAAAAAATTTGAGAGGTGGGCTGCGGGTTAGGGGAGCCTGTTTTCAAAGGAAGACTAATGAGTTTTGCTTCTCAGGAGTGGCTGATAGGGACAAATGGTGCCTCGCCCCACAACTGGATCCTTTAACATAGACACCTCCCAGGCTGTCCATCAGTATGTATTTGGGCCTCCCCCCACTGTCCCAGTCCAATCTGGACCTGAAGCAGACAGTGACCAAATTCATCCTGATTCCACCACAGCATGGGGGCCTTTTCCCCCTTTTTGTATTTTAGGGGCTTCTGGGGCCTATTCGTAACTTTGTTTGGGCCTTGGCCCGTTTGGGGCTCTGGACTGTTTGTATTTGAATCCACGCAATGACTGCAGACGAGACAGGGCTCCTTCTGCACCAGACTCCGGGGGCTATCGCCGGTTTGTAATGTGTAGCCTTGGCTTCTTTGGGGCTCTGGCCCGTTTGTATGGGCCACCCGCCCGTTTGTATGGGGCCTTTTGCCCATGTGTATTTATGTTCAGTGTTTTTGTACTTTGAAATTGTCTGCCTGTCTGAATCAACCTTTGTTTGTGTCTTTAATGTTGTGGCGCCTTGTTTAATGTTTTAGTCCTCAATTGATTACTTACAACCTCAGCATGCCTTTTTAAAATAAAGTATTTTTCTTTCTGGTTAAAATGATTAAATATGTTTTAGACTATTTATAAAAATATGTTTTAGACTAAAGGTCACTGCAAGAATTTTGTTAAAGGTTTTAATGTTATCTAAAAAGACAAAAATAATTGACTGGTAATAAGTCTTTTAAAAGATGTTTTTACATGGCTATTGTTGGGAGTTCTTAAGCAGCTTTGTGTTGCAAATGGAGAGCGATGAGCCCAACAGGATAATTTGCAATACTGTGAGTTTGGGAGTGGGGAATTTCGAGGAATGTTGTAGACTGTAAAGACAAAAAAAAAGCCTATCTAAATTTAAAAAAAATAACTATTGTGCCTAATGTGATTGGTGATTGCATGTGCTATGAACATCTGGGAAATTATGCAGCACAATTTTGTTACCTATGAAAAAGCCCTTTTTGTTAAACATGTAACATTGCCCTGGGGCAAAAAAGCGTTGTGCTACCCAGATGAAGCCTACTCTCTGATCTGGAATGCCAGAACCATGTTTTCCTCTTGTCCCACCCTGATTGGATAACCTGAGGTAAGGAGACTTCCCAGTGTTGCCAGTTGTTCTCTTTATAACTCAGTTGGTCCCACATATTAGACAAAAATTTGCAAAAGTTTGAGAGATTTAAGAAAATCCCCTTCAGTCAGTTATTAGAGGTTACTTAAAAGATAACTGACAACCGAGAGGACCTTAAAGACCAGGCTTAAGAGGTTTCTGCTGGGCAGAAAGACTACACTGGTTGTTGTGAGCCATCCAACAGATTCCATCCCTGTGACTAAAAGGCAAGTGCAAAAATTTCTAGGAGCCACAGGACTGATCCAGAGTTTGGGACCCTGGCAGAGGCCTCTTGCCTATCTTTCCAAGAGACTTCATTCTGTGGCAGCCAGATGGCCACCCTGTCTGCAAAGATTTCCTTGGTGGCCCTCCTTGTAAAGGAGGCTTAAAAATTGACTTTTGGAGAAAAACTCTTAATTGTTTCCTCCTATTGGCTGGAGACTCTCATCAAGGTCCTGCCAGACTGATGGATGTCTAACTCCTGAGTCATACACTATCAGGCACTACTTCAGGATCCAACTACCACCAGTTTCAAGGGGACAGCGGCTTCAAACTCTGCTACTCTGCTGCCTGATGATGCCCCTCAACAACTGTATTGGGGACCAGACTTGATAGAGGAGCCACCATCCAAAGTTCCTTTGTATTTCTCCTATGGAGTCAATTACATCTATCAAGGTAAGTGGGTCATGGGAGCTGCTGTTACACAGACTCTCAGGTTCTATGGAAACAAATTTTGGAGCCAGAGACATCAGCCTAGTGGGGTAAACTCATTGCCCTCACTGAGGCCTCAAGTTGTCAAAGTATGGTTTGCTACTGCCTATTTACCCAGAATGGTGCTTATTGACTTTTGGGGTCAAAAGATTAAAAATGCTCCCCAAATTTAAACTTGTTGGCTAACATCAAGATGCCAAGGAGAGTGGCTACTATCTGCTGTATAACCCATTGGACAGAAGATGACCTTGTTATAAGGGGAAATAATTTGGCAGACGCCACCATCCAAAAGACAGCCAGACAGCCCCAAAATCAGTGGGGATTAAAATAAGCTTGACATTACTGTTGATCCCACCTACTTTCTTTGTCAGAGCCTATTTGCACTTGAAAAGACTTGCATCTGGTACTGGGTGATCCCTGGGGGCTAATTTCAAGCTAGCCCAGTCTGTGAGCTTCAGTGCCCTCAGTGCCAATTGGTAAACCCAAAAAAACTGCAACAAGTGGAAACCATTCATAATCATGTGACTATGCCTAAAAACACTGGGAGTTAGACTTTACAGAAATAAATAAAAAAAAAAAAGCCTGGACTTCAAAGATATAAGTATTTACTTATAATGGTTGATACTTTCACTGGATGAGCAAAAGAGTTGCCTGCTAGGATTATTTCCAAAAGATGAAAAATATTAACAAAAGATGAGAAATATAAAATAAAAAGCAGCCTTTATTCTGAGAACACGGAGAGAGATGACCAGCACCCCCACCGCTGGGGTCCGGCGATCTCTCCAGCGGACACGTGGCATGGGGGCCTGTAAATAGCCTCGGTTTGGGGTGGAACCTAAGGCGGGCATTAGGGATGCACAGGTAGCCCATTGGTCCTAGGTTTGGCACCATATGTAAATTCCAGGGGCGGGAAGATGGCGTCACAGGTAACTTCCTAGGGGCAGGGGAGATGGGACTTCCTGCTTCCGGTTGTGGCTTTCCTAGCTACAGTGTCCTATCTGGGCCAAAACATTTCATTGCCTACTAAGTCTGAGTCAGTCCTGACAACAGTTTCCCTGATTTGGTCTCCCTTTTATCTGTGGGGTCTGACAATGGCCTGGCTTTTATAGCCTAGTAACTCAAATTAACCTAAGCTTTGCAGATCAATTAGAAAACTCCATTGTGCTTACCAGCCTCAGAGTTCAAGACAAGTAAAAAAGATGTCATACTTTAAAGACATATTTTAAATTACTAATGGCCTTAAAAACTGGCGAGAATTGGGTTAGTCTCTTTCCTTATGCCCTTTTGTGTGTGCAATGTACCCCCTATGTTTCAGGTATTTCTTCTTTTGAGGCTTTATATGAGAAACTTCTTTCTCTTATCTTTAAGGTTTCTAAAATTATTAGCTGATTTAACTAATCAAGATCTTATTAAGTCCCCCCCCCAGACTTTTCAGCTAGTTCTGACTTCTATCCACCAGTTATTTCGCTGCTGCCACTGTGAGAACAAATGCCCTGCTGTAAAGCCTGGACACCTGGACACCGGTCCTTATCAAGTGACAACAACATGAATCTCTTGAGCCACAATGGACTATCAAGGTAGCTGAAAGCCTGCCTGGATTCATCATTCCCACTGCAAGCAGATCCTGGCTTCCAAAAACAATCAGCCTGCATATAAGTAAACTGTCATTTATTCCAAGGACTCTTTAAAGCTTAAGATTGCCAAATGTAACTGGTAATCTTGTGTTCTCCCTTGTAGAGACCCCGAAGAGGCCTCTGTCTGACTTAAAAAAATGTTACTTATATGATGGAACAGAGTAAATTTAAATGTTGGTTTTCTTTCTTCTTTTGGTTAACAGTTTTTTTTTTTTTTTTTTTTTTTGGTCTTTTTCATTTTTATCGGTACTAGGGATCGAACTCACAACTGCCTGCTTGCAAGGCAGGTGCTTATGTCACTGAGCTAAACCCCCAGCCCCTTGGTTAATAGTTTTAATAATGACAGATGAGAGACCTTTGTTAATCCTCCTATTGGGCCTTGTATTGTAAAAAAGTTGATGAACTATGTCAAAGATCTTAAGCTTATGATTTTAAAGGCACACACAAGGTTATAAGCAGATACCTATGAGTCAATGATTTGACTCACTGACTAAAATCATTGGGGAATGTTGTACTCTAGAAAAATAGCTTCGTTATATTTGTATCATAGCAATACCTGTAACTTGGCCTTACTGTATATGTGTTTTTCCCTTCCCCCTCTGGATGGCCTAATTGATATGTTAATCAATGCTCTCCTCTGTAAAGAATTGTAAAATCTTACCTAATTTATATGTTAGCCATTGCTGCCCTCTACAAATAACAGATGTGGTGCTAAACTAAGGTAACTAAAGTTGTTAATTGCTGTTAGACTTCTCTATTCTTTGCTGAAGAAAACAGGATTTCTTCTTATCTAAACTTGCTTGTATGCAGGGAGACTTGCTTGTGAGCACAACCCTTACCTGATCTTGCTCTTCCCAAGACATGTAATCGCATTGTTTCTGTTTTGTAGTGTGCCACACCCCATCCCCCTCCTTACATTGTGTGACCAGCAGCTGTTTGTGGATTTACAAGATAAAAGCCCTGACTTTTAGCTGTCAGGTGCACAGTCTCCAAATTGGCTCCTGGAGGCTGTGTCACCAGGCCTGGCCTAAAATAAAGCCTTTGCTCCTCCAATTTTAATTTCTTGCTTCCTTGGGTTTTATTCCAGGGTATGAGTTATCACAACCCTAACCTATGTAATTACTTTAGGGATGCAATATTGTCTTTGATTTTCTATTTTTCCAGAGACAGCAATGGCTTCCATTTAGCCTTTTCCACTATAAAAACCCTTACTCTACATAGTAAGGAACCAATGTGGAGACTCTTTCAGGTGCTATGTACATCTACTGATTATGCATTCACAAGATGGGTTTAGATACCCACTGTGAATTTGATCTTAGCTATAATTCCATTGATCAGGTGACCTCCATGGGTTGATACTTTGACCAAAAAGATCACAGTAACTTTTTGGATCTCTTTAAATTAATGCCATTTTAGAGTTTCTTCCAGTAGTTTTTAAAAGATGTGGTTATTTCCTTTTTTAAAATATATAAATTATATGCAAAATATCTGCTTAATGAGCACATATTAATAGATTCAACCTTATTCAATTTAATGTTTATTCCCCCCTTATTCCCTGTCCTTAAAATCTATTTCCATATCTGTTCTCCAGACCTCTGATATGACAAGAAAATTCACAAAGCTTTTAGCAGTGTAGCACATTTCCAAGTGGTCAAACTAAATATCTCACCTTCAAGTGCCTGCTGAGACTTGAGCTTCATGGTAGGTTTGGAGGCAAAAGTTGGTGTGTAAGTGACCTGTAGGGACCATAGACATTATTTTGCTTGGCAACTGTGTCAGGAAATGTAATTACTGCTCAACCAGGCAATGTGGGGTTGTTTCCCTCAGACAGATGTGGAGAGGCCAGATCAATGGAAGGCGGGGTGAGTATGGCCACTGCCATTGACTGTACTGAGGTCACTCCCTCTAGCAAAAGAGAGACAGAGAACAAAGAGCTCAGCAGAACTTGAGTTTAGTGTCCCCACGCTCATCAGGGTCCTCTCACACATTTCCACCCCAATTTACAAGATCCCATTAGTTTTCAGAGTCTTCATTAACTGCAGACATCCTTTAAGGCTGAAAATTAAACTTGTGCTATAATTCAGCCAATCAAATGATGAGAAATTGCAGTTGATTTTTTTTAGCAACTTCAGCCCTGTGGGGGAGAAGCTTCTCCTTCAGGGCACATTAGAAGATTTTTAGCTTATTTATGCATGTCAGGAGCTGGGAAATTAAATCCCTGAGCTCACTCTTTTCCTTTACCACTATGTCCAGCAATGCTAGGAGCAAGCAGCCATCATCATCATATACTTTAGTTTTCCAAAAATGTTTAAGAGTGTCACTTGTCTCTACAAATAGTGAATTAGAAATATCAAATGCCTTTACATTATATAATTCTTTAAACAATTTATTGAAAGGTTCTTGCCCTAGTATAAATTACGGTACAATTGTGGCAGTGGTCTAACATGGCAGAAGGCCACAGTGGGAATGCTTACCACTTCCTCCTTTAGCCCTAGTTGCAACTCGCTTTCCTGTTTGCACACAAAGAAAATTCCAATCAGTTCCTCACACATCATCAGTGTCTAGTCCTATGCACCACTTCTGATCAGAGGTCATATAACCCTCTGCCTCTCTGTATCTGATTGAAGGAGAGAGCCCAACTGCCATGATTGTGTGCTCCTTTCCACATCCTCAATAAACTTGTTCTTGTCTTTTTTTTTACTCTTTGCTTCTCTATTGAGCCAGAAAACTCTAACAGTTATTTCATGAGTAATTATTAGTGCTATTTATATGATCAGAAGATAAGCTTATAGCAACTTTAATCACATAACAGTCAACGACATAAACCACAAAACCAGTTATGGAAATGTACTCTTGCAATTCTGTTTCTTTATAACTACTGCCAGGGTGTGTGTGTGTGTGTGTGTGTGTGTGTATTAGACTGGCTAACAGAATCAGATGTTGGGTAGTCCCACAATGGCAGAATAAGAGGTGCCAGTGATGCATCCCAGTCTGACGCTAAAGGACTGGAAAGTCTCTGAATTATTACTGGTGTGAGTCTGATAGAATTGTGGCACAGCTGAAAAGATAAGAAGTATGAAATATAAATGAGCTTTATTTTAAGAATGTGGGGAGAGACCCCTTGACCCATGGGGTCCAGCATTCTCTCCAGGGTCTGGGAATCTCTCTGTCAGTCATGTGGAGTGGGGGCATACATGTAGCTTAGGTTTGGGGTGGTGCCTAAGGGTCATTAGTGATGCACAGGTAGCCCATTGGTATTCATTCGCACCACAGGTAAATTCCTAGGGGCTGGGAAGTTGGAGTCCTTTGGTTCTGCCTCCAAGGCTTTACTGGCTACAGTGTCCCATCTGGACCAAAATCCTTTCAGAGTCCATATGAAAAAGTAAGATAGCTGGAGTCTGGTTTTGATGAGCAAAGGCAAAAGACACAAACAAAAGAACTGAGCTGTTAAGCACTGGCTCACTGCTTGTCTTTGTCTTCTGTTCCATCTGGCTTCTGTTCCATCCCACCTATGGGACTGTGCTGCCTGCATTCAAGGCACTATTTTCCACTTATTTTGCTAACCCACTAATTATCTTGGAAATAAAACCCTCATAAACACACCCAGACACACCCAGAGGTGTGATTTACTGATTTCCTGGTGTCTCTCAACCCACTCAAATTGGCATTCAGGAATAATCTGTCAAATCCAGGCTACTATCTATTATTCCAGCTTGTTATATTCCTATTTTTTTAACTTACGTAGTTTACATCTTACGTTACTATACGAACATTTAAGTCTGAATCTTGTCTGATGTGATAGAAAATGGAACGTATGCATTCTAGCAGAGTACTCTTAGAAGAAGTATAAAACTTTTTATATAAACAGCGGAAATATATAATCAAATGTATGTGCAAAACTAAAAGAAGTGACTGAAGTAGCAGTAATTGAAGTGATATCCATAAATATTAGCCATTCCCCAAGGTAGATGAAATCGTCTTAGCCCTGTCTTACCTCATCTTGTTTTGTTCATAACTTCAGCCTGCTCTTGGGATGTCTACTTACACATGACACATTTTGTTTGTTGCCCCTGTTAGAAAATATTAAAAATTGTTCAGCTGCTTTGGCATGAATGTTTGCTTTGTGTCTCACAAATTAAGCAGAGTTAGTTGAACTTAAATCTGTATTTAGTAAGGAATTTTTGAGTAACTGAAATTTGTAGGATGTAAGAAACAGTGAGAGTAGAATAATGGATTATGTCTTTTCATATCATGTCTGAATTCAATAAATTTAATAAGGAACTTTGAAGCTAAGTTTATGAGAAGTTAAGAAAAATTGATGATAGAGATGGGGTGCAGAGATTAAAAATATTTGGGTGAGTGTTAAATTGGCTTTATCATGTTAGAGAAAGAGCAGACCTGCTGTATATTCATATAAATGCTCAGTCAACCTCAGTTTGGATTAGTACACTTAAGATATGACAGAAACATCAAAACACAGCAGTGTGGACCCATTATTTGCTTATCTTCCTTCATATTACCTGTCTTCTGCTAAAACTTTAGTGCTGTCTTTGTTCATCTTTAGCCATATGCAATTTGTCTTCCAATAGATTTAGTGTTTCTGTTTTAATATTCAGATCTTTGATCCATTTAGATTTTAATTAAGTACAGGGTGATATGCATGGGTCTAGTTTTAGTTTTCAGCATATGGTGAGCCAGTTTTTTCAACACCATTTATTAAAGAGACTGTCCTTCTTCCAGTGAACATGCTTGGCCCCTTTATCAAAGATAAGGTGGTTGAGTGTTTTTGTAGTTGTGCTTGAATCTTCTAATCTATTCCACTGATCTTCAGCTCTGTTTTTATTCCAGCACCATGCTGATTTTACTACAGTTGCTTTGTAGTATAACTTCAAGCCAGGGATTGTGATGCCTCCTGTCTTGCCTTTGCTGCCTAGAATTGTCTTTGCTATTCTAGATCTCTTCTGGTTCCAGATGAATTTTAGGGATGATTTCTCTAAATCTATGAGGCATGTTGATGGTATTTTCATTGGGATTGCATTGAATCTCTGTAACAATTTTGGAAGAATGGCCATTTTCATAATATTTATTCTTCATATCCATGAGCAAGGGATGTCTTTCCACCTTCTGACATCCTCTCCAATTTCTTTTTCAGTGCAGCATAATTTTCCCTATATAGATCTTTCATTTCTTTCATGAAGATAATTCTTAAATATTTCATTTTTTTTTGGTTGCTAGTGTGAAGAGTGTGGCTTCTCTTATTTATCTCTCTGTCATCTTTTTGTTAGTGTATGGAAATGCTATTGATTTTTGAGTATTGATTTTGTATCCAACTACCTTGCTGAATTTATTTATTATATCTAGGCATCTTTCAATGCAGTTTTCAGGGTCTTTTATGTAAAGTAACATGTTATCCACAAATAATGATAATTAAACTTCTTCTTTTCCTATCTTTACCACTTTTATTTCTTTCTCTTGTCTAATTTCTCTGGCTAGTATTTCCAGTACTATATTAAATAGGAGCGGGGATAAGGCACATCATTGTCTTGTACCTGATATTAAGGTAAAGGCCTTCTGTTTTGGGCCATTTAGCATGACACTGGCTGTTGGTTTGTCATAGATGGCCTTCCTCATATTGAAGTAAAGACCTTCTATCCCAACTTTCTGTAAGGTTCTTATGAATGAATGTTGGACCTTATCAAAAGCTTTTTCTGCATCTATAGAAATGATCATGTGATTCTTACTTTTGGTTTTATTGATATGGTGGATCACATTTATTGATTTACATATGTTGAACCATCTTTGCATGCCTGGGATGAATCCAACTTGGTCATAGTGTATAATCTTCTTGATGATTTGCTGCATTCTGTTTGCAATATTTATTGAGGATTTTAGCATCTGTGTTCATTAGGGAGATTGGCCTGTAGTTCTCTTTTTGAGTTGGGTCTTTCTCAGGTTTTGGTACTAGAGTAATATTTGCTTCCAGGAATGACTTAGGAAGGATTGCTTCCCTTTCAATTTCATTGAAGAGTTTGAGGAGTGTAGGCATTAAGCCT